CGCGCGCGCTCTCAATTCATGCGTAAAAAGGATGCGCGCGAACAATGGCAAACAAAATGTATTGTGTGTCATAATGGCATGGCATATATATCGTAGTCAAAGCAAGTATATTAAACCTGACACATACAACATCCTTTTTGCTGGTAGTATAGAATGTCTTTTTTATGAGGAGGACAAAATAATGAGAATCAAAAAATATCCAATAACGTTCACGTGAGTTCTTTTTATCATAGAAAGTGCAAGACCGGTTTCGATAGCTTGCTGAAGGTCATTGAATAGGGCCATAACGATAAATTACCATCGATCATCTCAGATATCATTGTTGAGAATAAATCAAATTATTCATTACGTTCATCCAATAATCTAGTTGTGCCACRCTTCAACTCTAGAAGGGTGCGTCTTGCTCCAAAATGAAATAAAATGCCATTAATYTATAAGGAAACCTGTCGATTTATAATCTCTTAGAACATTATTTTCAGAAGAGTTATCATGACATTTAAAAACTTTTTTTGGTCATTACTTTTTAATCATTAAAATGAATAGTACTCCCTATTGAGACTTCAACTACACCGAAACGTCAACTGTAGCAAAATTAAACTGTTATTAAAAAGGTTACGCTCCAGCACGCGTCTTTTCCTTGCCAAATGTCACATTTGCTCAGCGTAAAAGACAAAACAAAACAATCAATTCAGTTGCCAACATTTTTTATTAGTTTTCTTTTAGCATGAATTATATTGGAATATGCTTATGCTAGGTTCACGTGGTTCACTAAGTCACGTGGCGACCGTTACCCAATTAAATGTGCAATTATAAATTAATTATCATCAGGAATTACTGTCGTTCTACTCTAACCGTGAACATTCGAGTTCAACCAATCAGATTATGAATTAAGTGAAAACAAAAGAATTCGAGTTACTTGAGAGTCTATAAAAGCTATTCAAGGAGATGAAATGGTGAAAGAGAGAAAAAAAGTTAAAAGTAAAAGAGTAAAAAAAGTATGTTTACAGAAATAAAAACTAAAATGAAATAAGCTCGAGTGTTCACGGTTACACTAGAACGACAGTAAACGAGCAGATGAATCTTAGGTTTAGATATCAAGCTTTGCCGTTTGTAAAATCGTTACTATTCTAATATAGGTTTGTGATATGAGATGTTAAACATTTCTGAGTCTACTTTCTAACTTTATCATGTACCATTAGAACCCGAAAAATAATATTCCGGTCGCAATTTCTTTTGAGTAAATTTTGTCACGTGATCACTTACAAGTTGCCTATTAAAACTGTTTCACTGAAATGCATATTGTGATCGAGTTTGCTAAGTGCAACGGCCATTCAATATGTTGATGATATTCCTGCAAGTGCCATTCTCTTTAACACTGTGTGGAATAGTGGTTATCAGACGGCTTCCATCATACACCAAAATGTGATTGCCCCCAGAAACGACGTACAAACCGCATCGCTTGGCGAAGTTTTGCAGCTTTGAAGAATTGCAATCACCGGGGAATTTAAGCTTCTTTTTTCGTTTCTCTATCGACTCTATTGCTGCATCCCTCAGCTGTTGCCACTTGTCGTAGAACTTGTTGGCACTTGGCAGGCTGGCAGCATCTGGATAGATTTCCTTCTCAAGGTCAACTAAAATTAATCAATCAATCAATCGATCAATCAATCAATCAATCAATCAATCAATCAATCAATCAATATATTGATCTTAAAATCGAAGCAAGACAAATGACGGTTTAACGTCCTTTGGCTATGAGGTGTAAAGACATGATATAAAGTACATACATAATTAGCACAATTATAATTTCATTATATTCCAGTATATTTCAGTATATTCCTTGTAAATAGTTAAGCCTGGTGCATTATGGTACCGTGCTGAAGTGACGTGTTGTACCATATATATTCAAACATTGTGATTGGACATTTTTCGTGATGGTTGAACGGTTCAAAGAAAAAGTTATTTAAAAGTCACGGTAACGTATGATAAGAAATATGGTCATTTAAATAATAGAAAAACAGTATGAAAATAGATCTAGACGTTCAATATGCGGATGTGTCTACTGCTTGCTAAGCGTTTTGACGTCGAAACTCCGAGATCTTTTAGATTTCAGTTCGCACTTTCTCCACCTTCGATCGAACTTCAAATATCCAAATATCCCTCGTATCGAAACTATATCGAAATATCCATTTGCAGGATATGAATATTAGGCCATTGTAAAAATTAGAGGCAAAGGAGCAATGGTTCGCTCTGCACTGTCGCGATCATCCAACAGTGGAGCAGAAGACTCGCTTGCTTCGTGACGAACAAACACGCTAATTCAGTTGTCCTTGTTTTTGTTTTTTTATAAACTCTTTCTATTTATTTGAACTAGTACCTGACAGCACTTCAAAGAAAAAACATTTGACACATTCGATGAAGCATGTGCCTCGCTTTTTCCAAAGAAAAAAAAAAAAGAAAAAAGAAAAAAATTATTACAAACATGGCTAAAATTCGTAGTGAGCTCAGAGTCAGCTCAGATGGTATGAACCAAATATTTCCATAAATAAAAAGTCGTAAGCAGTCGATAGTTTTCAGACATTGAGCAGCCAAAGCTATTCGGCGGACTTCGGCAAATTTCGTGGATCATCGCTGTGGGTCGTTGTCTATGTGACGTCATCCGAAATTTTACATCATTTACTTACACACACATTTTTATTTGCCTAATATTTCGATGGTCGGCAAATATGGACACTCGACATCATAGTGCCTACAGATTTTATAGAAGCAGAAACAAAAAGGGATTCAAGTAATGAGAATATTTTACAAATTCCTTTTCTCTCTCACCACTTTTTCCAATACGTCTTCCCGGCCACAATCCCTTCACCTCAGTTGCTATGGCAACAACTAACACCAGAACCAATATCAGAACTTTAATACTCATGGCTGTCGTCTTGGGGTGCTGGACAACTATTCTGTTAAAAAAAAGTTGTTTAAAAAGCGTAAGAGTTATCTCCTATACTTTTTGTTAGTCGTAATAATCAAGATGAAGCACTAGTGACACTCCTATTAAATAATGCTAATAATCTTCCTCTCCGGCAACGCAACTTGGGGTTCGAGTCCTGTCCGGCATGGTGTCGAATGCGAGCAGGGTTGCTTCTTGTTTCTATCCTGTGCTTCGAGGGTTTTTGTCAAGTTTTCTTCCCGTCGCAAAAATCAATTTCTAAAACAAATTCCAATTCGATCGTATGAGATATTCTCAATATATAGGGTTAACCCCCTATATATTCTCTCGCACTATAATGCGAATAAATTGACGTTTTTGTTTGCTTTCTGTTTTTATTATTATTATCATCATCATCATCATCATCATCATCATTATTATTATTATTATTATTATGAAAACTGAATTGTTTTTGATAATCTCAACATTTAAAAATGTTATTCGCGCTTGGTAACCACTAGAGTCTGTAGGCACTAGAGAAAAACGTTTGCGCATGCGTGCATTTCAGCACGTTTTCTACTACGAATTCYGTAGAGTTTGAGTGAGAAAACAAATGTTCGTTTTTTCCAAGTATATAGAAAAGTTTGTGAGTGTACTTCTGTCAGACCAAAATACGTTATTAACAAACACAATATGAAGGAATTCACCATGTGAAGTCCAATCTATCAGGAATGTTTGAAAGTCAAATTTACATCTGAGTTGACTAATTTTACGGATTCAGAGCATACGCAGACGTTTTTCACTCTTGTCGAGTCTGTTTACTGATTCAGAAAAAAACACTTCGTGTAATTTATTTAATTTATTTTTAATGAAAAGAAAGTTTGTACTAAATTTCTGTCGAGGTTTCGAAAGGCTACTGGACAACCATTTCTGGAATCCTTTAGATCTCGTCGGCACTCTACTGGATTTTATAGGCTAGTTAAATTTAAAGTTAAATTAGAAATAGGGATATTCGTAACATAYCTCAGTTTAACTTACCAAAAGTGCAACCCAAATCGTTAATACTTGACTTGAACGTTTCTGGAATGACCTATGTGTCCGTCCGATAGTTTAGGCACCTTTCTGAGTTGCATCTAGGAGCTCACCCTTTATACCATATTTTCTAAAATGTTTTAAAATCCGGTTATTAAACCAGTTTTACTTGTAAATTGGTTTTCAGCAACGGGAGGAAGTAGGTTTTATTTATAGATCAAGATATTTTCATTCTGGGCGGGTAGAACAATTGGGTTAATCTGCATCTAAGGAACAAAAAGGGAAAGGTAAAGTTAAAGATAAAGAGCACTCGTGTAACAGCGGGATCCGAAAATAATAGCAATTCAATTGATCAGCAGCAAAACATTGAGCTTGTTGATTCGCTACACCCCGTATCCCGAGTAGTATCAACTGACCAACAAAAGATGTCTTT